CAACTTCTGTGTCAAGAGGTGCAGTCCCTCCTCTCAGTATAGGCAGTGGAGGAGGTTCCTCAGGAGCTATGGGGCAAGGGTTTCTACTCCTGGTACTTCCTAATACCGAAGGTTAAGGGGGGCCTCAGACCCATACTGGACCTGTGACAACTCAACAAGTACGTAAAGAAACTCAAGTTTCGCATGGTCTCTCTAACCTCCGTTATCTCTCACTGGATCCAGGAGACCGGTATGCCGCCCTCCACTTGAAGGATGCATATTTTCATATCGCAATAGTCCCACATCACAGACGTTACCTCAGATTCGTGGGGAACACAGGCCACTACCAGTTTGCCATCCTCCCGTTCGGACTGTTGACTGCCCTGCGAGTATTCACAAAATGCATGGCAGTCGTTGCGGCGTTCCTACGCAAGTGGCAGATACAGATTTTCCCATACCTCGACGACTGGCTGATCAAGGGTTGCTCGAGGGCCCAGGTGGAGGCTCAGGTCAAGTTTATAAGGAGGACCTTCCTCCACTTAGGTCTCCTCCTGAATGAGGAGAAATCCACTCTGTCCCCGATGCAGAGGATAGAGTTCATAGGCGCGGTCCTGGACTCTACTCAAGCCAGGGCGTACCTCCAGGAGGCCAGGTTTCACTCACTTCAGGACATCGTACAAGGCCTCCGACGGTTCCCCACGACGTCGGCAAGAAACTGTCTAAAGCTGCTGGGACACATGGCCTCCTGCACGTACGTGATGCAGCATGCCAGGCTCAGACTGCGCCCACTCCAGTCTTGGCTGGCGTCAGTGTACCAACCAGCCCGAGATGCGTTGGACAGGGTCGTAACCCTGCCCCGCCTGGTACTGGACTCCCTCCTATGGTGGCTCAACCCTCGGTTTGCACGGGGTACCTTTTGCCAGCCCTCGCTCATCTTGGTGTCAGACGCCTCAGATCTGGGTTGGGGGGCTCACCTAGCGGACCTCAAGACCCAAGGCCTCTGGTCTCCGGTGGACCTCGCTCTTCACACCAATGTCGAAAAGCTGAGGGCAGTGTGTCTGGCATACTACGCTTTGAAAACACACATAACGGGCAGGTGTGTTTCAATCCTCATGGACAACATGTCGGCGATGTTTTATATCAACAAATGGGGACGTACGCTGCTCTCCCCCATGCTAGGAAGCCCTTGCACTGTGGGACTTCTGCATAGAGCACTCGATACACCTGCAGGCCTCATACCTCCCAGGGGTGCGAAACACACTGGTGGACAGCCTCAGCCGGACCTTCAACAGCCACGAGTGATCCCTTCAGCCAGACGTGGTGAGCTCAATCTTCCGGTTCTGAGGCTCTCCCCAGATAGACCTGTTCGCCACTCCGGGCAACAGGAAATGTCAGACATTCTGTTCTCTCGGGAGCCACGGCTCGGGGTCCATCGGGGACGCCTTCCTCCTCTCGTGGGAGGGCTGCCAGCTGTATGCTTTCCCACCCATCCCGCTAGTCCACAGGGCGCTCCTCAAGATCCACAGGGACTGGGCCCGAGTCATACTAACAGCGATGGTGTGGCCACCTCAGCACTGGTTCACCTCTCTCCTGGAAATGTCCATAGCGGCCCCACTCGCCTTACCGCTGGTCCCCGACCTGATCGCACAGGACCAGGGCCGACTCCGGCACCTGAATCTGGAGTCGCTCCACCTTACGGCCTGGATGCTCCATGGCTAAGTGCCACAGAGCTCTCTTGTTCAGACCAGGTCAGATGAGTCCTCCTGGGTAGTAGAAAGCCCTCCACCAGGGCTACTTACCTGGCCAAGTGGAAAAGGTTCTCCATCTGGGCAGAGCAACATAGTCAGCCGCTGCTCCTCGCCCCCATGCCATTTATACTGGACTACCCTCTTCACCTAAAGCATCAAGACTTGTCCCGGTCATCAATAAGGGTCCACTTGGCCGCTATCTCCGCCTTCCATCTGGGGTCAGACAGTCTCTCGGTCTTTGCAAACTCTATGGTCAGTCGTTTTCTCAAGGGTTTGGACAGGCTCTTCCCACTCACGTGTCAGCCTGTCCCTGCCTGGGACCTCAATTTAGTCCTCTCCAGGCTTTCAGGCCTGCCATTTGAACCTCTGGCCACCTGCTCCCTGCTATCTCTCTCATTCAAGGTTGCGTTCCTCATCGCAATTACCTTGGCTTGACAGGTTTCGGAGCTCAGGGCCCTCACGTCTGAGCCCCCTTACACAGTTTTTCATAAGGATAAGGTTCAGCTGAGGCCTCATCCGGCTTTTCTCCCGAAGGTTGTCTCCCATTTTCACATGACCCAGGACATCTTCCTCCCAGTGTTTTATCCCAAGCTACGCTCCTCCGATAGGGAGCACAGGCTGCACTCACTGGACGTGCGTAGGGCCTTAGCCCTCTACACAGAGAGAACTAAGTTGTTCCAGAAGTCCGTCCAACTCTTCGGAGCCGTGGCAGACAGAATGAAGGGCCTTCCGGTATCATCTCAACACCTATCGTCAAGGATAACGTCCTGCATTAGGGAGTGCTATACCCTGGCAAAGGCACCCGCTCTACAGATAACCGCTCGCTCTACCAGGGCCCAGGCCTCCTCTGCGGCGTTCCTGGCACAAGTCCCTGTTCAGGAAATCTGCAGGGCAGCCATGTGGTCCTCGATACATACATTTACGTCGCACTGTGCAATTACACAACAGTCCAGGGACGATGCGGCTTTTGGGCGAGCCGTGCTCTTTTCTGTGGATAACTCCCCACCTCCTGAGCTCTAGCTTATGAATCACCTGCTTGGAATGGACATGAACAATCATTCGAAGAAGAAAAAATGGTGACTCACTTTCTCGTAACTGTTTTTCTTCGAGATGTGTTGTTCACGTCCATTCCAATACCCACCCTCCTTCCCCTCTGTCGGAATAGTCGGCAAGAAGGAACTGAGGGGGTGGGGGGGGTCGGCGGGGCTCGATATTGGGCACCATGAAGGCGCCACCCCAGAGGGCGCCCAGGCCTTGTGGACGCTGCTAGGGGGAAAATCTTCCGGGTGGCGCGCACACACCTGCTTGGAATGGACATGAACAATCACTCGAAGAACAACAGTGACGAGAAAGTGAGCAACCATTTTTTCTTGTGTTATGAGAAGGAATAAATGACACTTCCTTATTTACTTTCTCCACCACAGTCATGATTTTATAGACCTCTATCATATTCCTCTTTAGTCGTCTCTTTTCCAAGCTGAAAAGTCCCAGTCTTATTAACCTCTCCTGGTACGGAAGCTGTTCCATCTCCTTCTGTTTATGTTTTAAAGGCTGGAAACTTTTTTTTTTTTTAAGTCAGAGCTCAGGCCATATCTACCCTGCAGAGGCTACAGCACTGCAGCTGTGCCTAGGTAGCGTAGATGCTTCCTACACCGTTGGAAGGGGTTTTTCCATGGATGTAGTTAATCCACCTCTCCCCCTTCCACTGATGTAGGAAGTGTCTACACTACAGAGAATTCTTACGTCAATCTAGCCACGTTGACAGTGGGGGCTAGGACGACCTAACTACATGCAACATTTTTCACGGCCATGAGAAATGTAGCTAGATCTAATTTTTAGGTGTAGACCAGGCCTTGGAATTAGTTGAATAATTCTTTAGCAAGGAGTATATTTCACAGCTAGAGAGTATTGCAGGGTCTTGCTTAGAGTGATCCCTTGCTTTCACAACTGCCTTGGCTAGTCAAATAGCCCATGTTCCGTGCAGTCACTCCCCACACAGCATGTGCACGGCATTCACCTCCTGCTTCTCCCCTCCTCACATGCCCGCTCTCAGAGGCAGGACAAAATCTGACCTAGAGGGTTATTTACACTAAAGTTTGACTTTTCAAATTTAGTTGGTCTTTTAGTTAATCCCTTGTTAGAGGTCAGGTTTCTTGTACCGGGGAGCAATGTGTGTCAATAAATCCTTTTGTTACTCACCAACTTCCCAGGGGTTTGTCAAGCTGTCCAGAAACAATCACCTTTTGGCAAAGTCCAAGTATGGAAAATTTTAGCTGAAAAAGGAAAGGAGAGACACTCATTGTGTCGGTAAATATCCAAATAATGAAATACGTCAGTCTGAGTTCTGTTAAATTCTGAACAGCCTCATTCATCAGAGAGAGCAATGCATTCTGGTACCCTCAATCTTATTCCCACTGTGTTAGTTATGCCATTGCTAAGTACAATGCAGTACCCGTTTTTACCAATCCGTTCAGTGCAAAGGTTCTAGACCGTTTCCAGATACGGTAGCAGCAGCAGCCCATCTTACTACAGGTCACATGGGTTTCACAAAACATTTAGAAACAGCTGTGTCAGATGCCAGGTACATCTCAGGTTTCAGTGGCAATGTTTTGCTAATTATATGTCCTCTGCAAAGCAGTTATTTCCCAGAATGGGATGCTTTTCCACTGCCCTATTTGGGGTTGAAAGCACCATTCACGTCATGTTCACTTCAGCATAACTCATGGCATGTTTCATGAGGGGTTTTAAAAGCTCTTCAAGTATTAAAATGTGCTCTATTGTTCAGTCAGTGCACTCCATAATAGGAAGCTAACATCCATGAATCACCGTCCATGGCTTTGATACTTTTCAGGGTAAGATAAAGCAAATCTACTTTTAATTCTTTAATGTGTAAAAAACGTTTACATCTCTCTCTCTTTAATCTCACTGTCTGGAGTTTGTCATTCAGTCACCAACTTATAAGCTTTTGATTCTCGTTTACAAAAAAAAAAAGAGAGAAGATTGGGTCCTGGGGAGGAAGGTTAGTCTGGCGTGAAAGCCGGGAGTTTGGGTGGCTTGGCCCCACTGTGTATAGATGGAATTGTTACTCTGCTTTGGGTTTCATTCCAGTGTTTCCTCTGTGTGACTGTGCAGAGTGTCCCCAGCTGCCTTGTTTTGGAGACAACACTGTGTGCTAGGTGGAAGCTCTCCTGTAGCGGGATATTTCAGCATGGCTGGTGCCACTTGCCTAGAGGGGGCAGAGACCAGTGTTAATTTGTATGATCTTACTTTCAGAACCCCCCTCACCTCACAGAGGAGAAGTCCAAGAAGTTCAAAAGACGGCAGCAAGTGAAGCGCAGATCACAGGCAGAGGTCATGAAAGAGCGAGAGGACGAGTGCTTCAGCTGTGGAGACGGGGGACAGCTAGTGTCGTGTAAGAAGACGGGCTGCCCAAAAGTGTACCACGCAGACTGCCTCAACCTGACCAAACGGCCAGCAGGTCAGTAATTCCTTTGGGCTCCGCTCTTGGGAAGGGAGCGGTATAGACCTGCACTGCTAGGCCTGGCTAGAGGAAAGCAAATTCTCTGCTCACCGGGAATAACAGACAATTGGAGCTTCTAAAAATTATAGATAGTAATTTTCCAACACAAGAGGTATTGCACCCACCATGAGGCAATTTTGTATTAGACCTCCGTGTAATGAATAACGTTGAGTTGATCACTAGACTGGAAGTTGGTGGTTACCTAGGGACCATGAATCATGACCTATTTACATTCAATGTGAGCGAACAGAGAACAGTCCCAACCAGTAATATATACACTGGGTGCTTCAAAAGGGCTAATTTCCTAAAGCAGAGAAAAATTATGAGCAAAATTGGGAGCAGGAGAACCAGAAACACAGTGAGGCAGAAAAATGTGAATGAAAAATGGGAGTTATTAGATGGCCCAAAAGCCACAACTCCACAATCAAGAAAGAGGAGAAATTTGGTTAAAAGCTCATCCTGGTTTAGTGGCAAATTAGAAATAAAACATCAATATATAACAAATATAAAAAAGGGGAAAATAGAATAATAATATATAAATTGGAAGTTATGAAGTTTAGAAAATTGATAAGGGAAGCTAAAGATAGCAGGGAAAAATTCATTGCTGGCAGGGCTAAATTCAGTGAGGAGATTTTTTTAAATATATCAGGAACAAAATAAATCCTAGCTGTGGTCGTGGCCCATTACTTGATGCAGATGATAAAATTGTTCATATTGATGCAGAAGAGGAAGAAGTATTTAATAAATCTATTCCGTGTTTGGAAAGAAGCAGGATGATGTATCACATGTGGATGATGAAGTATTTTCCAATCCATTAGTGACTGAGGAGAGTCTGCTAGGGATAAACAACTACTAGGGATAAACATTTTTAATTCAGCCGGCCTGTATAACGTGCACTCAAGAGTCTTAAAAGTGTTGGCTGAGGAGATCTGATCTGCTGATGTTAATTTTTAATAAATCTTGGAATACTGGGGAAATTGCAGAAAACTGGAAGAGTACTAGTGTTGTGCCCATATTCAAAAAGGGAAAACGGGATGATGCAGCTATTTATTGGCTAGCAAAATAAAGCAAAAGCTGATATAGGTTTTAATTGATAAAGAATTAAAGGACAGGAATATAATTAATGCAAGACAACATAGTTTTATGAAAATAGGTCTTATCAAACAAACGTAATTTCATTCTTTGATGAGATTACAAATTTGATTGATAAAGTTAACTGTGTAGATTTAAAATACTTACACTTTTGTGAGGTGTTTGACTTAATAACTGTAGGCGAGTCCACTCACCCCCGCCGCCCCCTCAGGACCAGATACGACATTGCAGCTCTCCTGCAGGGCTAGAGCTCCCTGCCAGTGGTCACCAGCACTGGAATAGTACCTCAGCCCTCCTACTGGGTTACGATCATAAGTGCACCCTTCTGGTGTCACACTGGTCCAAACTAAGGAATCCCAAAAATGTCTGAATGCAAAAAACAATTCTTCTGAACCTCTTTATCTCTGTTCTTCAACCTGTACTGCACAGCTAGCTCAGCTCCTTTACCCATGTTGCGGTTTTCCCTCGGCCATTTCCTACCTCACCTCTTTACTTCGCCTCAGGGACTCTCAGTCTCTTCCCTGTTTTGATCGGGTCTGTCCCAGGCCTCCTAGCCTGGGGAGCTTGTCTCCCTGCTTTGAGCTTCCTTTCCTGCTCTGACTGGCCTTCTGACTCAGGGCCCCACAGAGACCACTTTGCTACCTGCAGTCTCTTCCCTCCAGCTCTTTCCCCAGCTGCTCCCTGTCAGCTTCTTGTATACAGGAAACCCGCTGGGCCCTCACAAGTGAGGTTTGTCCTGTTATCAGGTTGGCTTAGCCTCAGGCTCTCCATCCCAAGGGCAAGCCACCGTTTAACAGGACCACAGGATGTTCTGGTTTTGAAAATGGGCACTTTACAATAGCAATAAAGCACAGATTAAATGGCTTAAGAACTGGCTAACTGACAGAGTTCAAAGTAACCATAAATGGAGACTCGTCACTGAATGCAGGTGTTTTAGTGGGCTGTAGGGGTTGGTACGAGGCCCAACGCTATTCAACATTTTTATGCGTGGTCTGGAAGTAAATATAAAATCACTTCTGATAAAATTTGCAGGTGAAACACAGACTGGCAGAGTGGTAAATAGTGATGAGGGCAGGGAGTCAGACAGAAGGATCTGGATTGCTTGGTAAGCAGGCCCATTCAATCAAAATGGGTTTTTATACAGCCAAATGAACATTATACATTTAGGGACAAGGAATGCAGGCCATCGCTACCGATTGGGGCACCTGTGATTTGGAAAAGGATTTAGGCACTCATAGTGAACAAGCAACTCAGCATGAGCTCCCAGGGCAATGCTGTGAAAAACCAACGAATGCAATCCTGGTATGTGTAAACGGCAGTAGTGCGTAGGAGTCGGCAGCTGATTTACCTCTGTATATGGCCTCGCTGAGAAGATACTGGAATACCGTGTCTATGTTCTTAAAAGGATGTTAGAAAATTGAAAAGGGTCAGAAAAGAGCCTCAAATATGAGTTGAGAGCTGGAGAAGATACCTTAACTCTCTCATCGTAAAGAGCTCAATTGTTTAGACTATTAAAAAGAAGATTGAGAGATGACTTGACTATGGAGTAGAAATACCTTCACAGGTAAAATATTGGGTACTACATGGCCCTGTAATCTAATGGAAAAACTGCATCACAAGAACTAATGGTGGGTGGCTGAAACCAGCCCAATTCAGATTAGAAATTAGGTCCCATTTTTTGACTGTGAGGATGATTAACCAGTGGGACAAACTCCCAGGGGAAGTGGTGGATATTCCATCTCTTGATGTCTCCAGAGCCAGGCTGGTGCCTTTCTGGAAGATGCTTTAGCCAAACACAAGTGACTGGATTCCATACAGGGGTAACAGTGTAAAATGTAATGGTGTGGGATATATAGGAGGTCAGACCAGATGATCTAATGGTCCCTTCTGAGCTTAAATTCTATGAATCTGTAAGCTGGAGGCTTTCGGTAGCCAGTGACAGCCAGTGCAGTGTGTGCCCAGCTGGGGAGTGCTATGGGTTGAATCCGCAGAGAGGCCTGCAATTGACTCTGCTGCACATTGGGGGTGATTTGTTTTTCTCCAGGATGGTTCTGATACTAGCAGTGAGTGAAATCCCAAACTGAACTCCTTAAGACATAGTTTGGCTTCTGTAAAGAACTATTGTCCTATGCCCAGAGGGGGAGACAAGAGAAACTCAGGGCTTGTCTACATTACCCGCTGGATCGGCAGCAGGCAGTGATTGATCCAGCGGGGGTCCATTTATTGCGTCTAGCATAGACGTGATAAATTGACCCCTGAGCGCTCTTCCGTCGACTCCAGTACTCCACCAGAACGAGGAGAGCAAGTGGAGTCAGCGAAGGAGCGTCAGCTGTCAACTTACCACAGTGAAGACACCGCGGTAAGTAGATCAAAGTACGTCAATTTCAGCTACTCTATTCACGTAGCTGAAGTTGCGTCTCTTAGATCGACCCTGCACGGTAGTGTAGACCAGCCCTCAGTTCCTTGTCTCCAGTGTCTTCCAGTATCTTCTCTCACATCAGTGTGAAGGGAGGAAATTGGCCTCAAATTCACTCAGCCCTAGTTGAAATTGGAAACATCTGGAACCCTTTCAGTATGGGGTTAGCTTGAAGGCAGAAGTTTCCTTGCATTAGCCCTGAGCTATGCGGTGTCTAGGTTTCCCTCTGTGCTTGGTGTAATGAATCCAAGGCAACTGGTGCAGGAGCAGAGAAGGGGAATTTCTGACATTGTTTTAGTGAGAGCCGTTACAAGTAGGTTTCCCCCGCCCTCGGCTGTAGCTTTCCAACCCGATAGCTCTGTTACGTTACCTCCTAAGGTGCTTTTTCTCCTGTTTGTGCTGCAGGGAAGTGGGAGTGCCCTTGGCATCAGTGTGATGTGTGTGGCAAAGAAGCAGCTTCCTTCTGTGAGATGTGTCCCAGCTCCTTCTGCAAGCAGCATCGGGAGGGCATGCTCTTTATCTCCAAACTGGATGGACGCTTATCATGCACAGAGCATGATCCCTGTGGACCCAACCCTCTAGAGCCCGGGGAAATTCGTGAGTATGTCTCTCCCACAGTCCCGCCAGCTAACCGTCAAAACGCTCAGCCCTCTGACCATCAGCCTGCAGTCCTGGGCCTCAGGCGTCCGCCTTCTGACAGGCTGCCTCTGGCTGTGGCCCTGAGGCTGCAGCCGTCGGACAAGCCCTGCTCCGCCGTGGCCCTGAGGCTGCAGCCGTCGGACAAGCCCTGCTCCGCCGTGGCCCTGAGGCTGCAGCCGTCGGACAAGCCCTGCTCCGCCGTGGCCCTGAGGCTGCAGCCGTCGGACAAGCCCTGCTCCGCCGTGGCCCTGAGGCTGCAGCCGTCGGACAAGCCCTGCTCCGCCGTGGCCCTGAGGCTGCAGCCGTCGGACAAGCCCTGCTCCGCCGTGGCCCTGAGGCTGCAGCCGTCGGACAAGCCCTGCTCCGCCGTGGCCCTCAGGCTGCAGCCGTCGGACAAGCCCTGCTCCGCCGTGGCCCTCAGGCTGCAGCCGTCGGACAAGCCCTGCTCTGCCGTGGCCCTGAGGCTGCAGCCGTCGGACAAGCCCTGCTCTGCCGTGGCCCTGAGGCTGCAGCCGTCGGACAAGCCCTGCTCCGCTGTGGCCCTGAGGCTACAGTCAGATAAACAACCCACCATTGTATCCCTGAGGCTTCAGCAGTCGGACAAGCCTCTTGCCACCACTGCAGGCCAGCAGCCTCCGCCCTCAGATGAGTCTCCTTCCGCTGCTGGGGCTCTGCTGTCTCCTCCCGCAGATGAGTCTCCAACCAAGGGCCTGCATCCTCTGCCATCGGACGAGTCTCCCACCGCTACCCAGGCTCAGTGGCCCCAGCTAATGGACGAGTCTCCCGCCCTTGCTAGGGTCCCACGGCCGCAGCCATTGGGCGAGTCTCCCATCAAGGGCCCGCAGCCCCTGCTGTCAGATGAGGCTCCCGCCACGGGGGCCCTGCAGCGTCAGGCGTTTGACAGGCCTCCAAGGCTTTTGCTGTCTGAGAAAGCACTGCGGCCCGGGGATCAGAATGCTGAGCCAAAAGAGAGAGGAGCCGCAGTGGGGGAGCCGCAGCCACAGCAGAAAGAGCGAACTTGTTTACCTGAGGAGCAGACTTCTCGGGCTGCAGGGACGGCCGTGACCCACGTGGGGCAGGCACCTTGGCCCATGGAGAAATTACAGACACCTGAGCCGCCAACGCAGGCTGACCGGGAAGTGGCATCAGCACCCACAGAGCAGAGCCCTTGGACTGCCGAGAGGTTACGTACATTTGAACAGACCCCCCGGCCTGCCAGGGAAGCACCAGTGCCCCCAGAGCAGGCTTCATGGCTTGCCAGGAACATTCAGACATTTGAGCAGATCTCTTGGCTCTCTGGAAAAGCACAGACACCCCTGGGGCAGGCCCCTTTGCCTGAGCAAAACGTAGTGCTCGTCCGCACCCAGGATTCTCCCAGTCAGGAATTGGCTGAATCGAAACCGAAGTGAAGTCAGTGAATGAGGCAGGCAGGTTGCAGTCGGTTTGTTTGGGGAGAGGGATTTTCTTTGTTTTGTTTGTTGTTCACGTCCCTGATCCCAGCCTCGAGCCCAGGTGCTCTCATGACATAAGCAAGGACGTTTACCTAAACCGGAGTGTGGCCCAGCCACGGAGAGTGAGCATCAGCGACCTTTTTTCCTCTTCCTTTTACAAACGGTAAAGTTGAAATAAAGAGTCCACTCCGGATAAAATCTCTAATTCCATTGAAATGGTCATGTTACTGATCTAGCGTGTCTGCGTGCGAGGTCTGCATCCAAAAGGGGTTTCCAAAACACAGCTAAATGGCCCTGAGGAAGCAATTTCCTTTCTCTTAACTGTTCTTAGTGAAAGCAGAACAACTAGTCTGAACTGGGATCTCAGATGTTTCAAATGATTAAATGGTGCACAGAGTAATTGGACAAGTGTCTTTGCTAGACTCTGAAGAGGGGAAGGGATTTAGCACTTGCGCTGCCCAATTCTCCTTCCCCACAGGGTTTTCCTTTGCAAGTGTTTGCCTGAGTGTGCACATTGATATGTGTCACCAGTGCAAGGCTCACCCAAAACACAGGTGCTGTTATAAAATGGTGGAGTCCCTTGGAGTTAGTGAAGGAGCCTGCTCCTGCCAGACTGTACAGTTCATTCCAGCGTGGGCAAGAGAACTGCTTCTGCGCAGGCCCTGTGATTGGGGATGGGGGGAGAGGGTCTCTGAAGATACCATCTGCCAGGATTCTCCTCTTGGGTCTTAGCTCTGTAACGTGAGAGAGGCGGAATTTCCACGGCACATACGATGCTCTGAGCCCTGGAGGCAGCTGTTGTAGCAGGGTAGCGCTTGAGTAAGGCCCCGACTGGATGCTGAGCGCTGCCTTTGCCAGGGTAGAGATGCTGCCCTTCTGAATGCTCCAGGCAGTTCCTTCTTCTCCTTGGTTGTTACCATGAACTAGCAAACTAAATAGTCTCTTCCTCCCCCATCTCAACCACATGCTTAGGAGTCCTGTTTGCAGAGTGTCTTGGTAGCCCTAGCAGAGTGAATTCTGTGGAATTCACTCCATAGTGCAGAGTCAAGAAGCTATTTCAGAAGGCATGCTGTATCCAGAATGGAAAACCATGTCAACACCCTTCCCCTTGGTTAGCCTCTGTATTTCCAACCAAAAAACCCCACAGGAGACTTGAATTATCTGGACTATGTTGAAGTGTCTGTGTGTCAGAAAACCAGCCCCTCAAGGTAATAGTTCTCACACTGGAACACAATGGCTCTAGCACCTGGCTCCCCCCCCCCCCCCCCATCACACTCAAGGTAACTCTGTGCCTGGTGACTTGCCGGGCTGGTATTCCGAGTAGACCTGATGGAAGCAGTTACGTGACCTGACTGCTGAGGCAGAAATACACACTGCTATGGCACTGATACGGTGTGCGGTGGAATAACAGGCAGGGACGTAGGAAATGGCTACTTGTGACTTAGTGACGCTTGTGATCTGCGAAGGAGTGGCCGGGCAGTCTGCGTCCGTGCTGCCCACGGTCAGTGCAGTGCGCTGTGCCAGCCGTAAGCACTGTTTCATCAGCACGGTCTCCCAAGACATTACCTGCGCGACATGCCTGAGCTCCACTGACCTGGGCCCATTGTTTCAGAGAGAGCACAGTAGGTCTCTCCCCAGAGGGGGAGCCCTAGTTCCATACTAGCCCCTTTCCTCTAACTTGGGAACAGGTCAGGGCTGGCGTTCAGCTCGTATGTTCCCACTGCTCCAAGAGAGAGCAATAATTAGCTTTGTGGGTTTCTGTGACAGGCAGAGAGGTCTCTGTAACAAGGCAAATCATGATCCATTCTCCTTTCCAAAGTCAGCTCCCCAAGAGTGTCCCCTCTGGGCAGTGCTGTCGTGTGTCTCCTCTCTAGTCTGAATCACTTCAGGCCCCTCAGTGTAGCTCGTGACTTGGAAAAGCTTTATGGCTTATGGAATCTTAGTGTTTAGTGTTGTTTTTCCGTGAAGACCTGCGGGTCAGTCCCTGATCTCTGCTGAGCTGGGGGAGATGCAAGCAGCTATTGTTTTGCATGACTCCTGCACAAAGGGAATCAGGATGTCTCCTCAGAGCCATTGAGAGAGGATAAACTAAGGGCATTTTATTAACTTTTTAAATAAAAACAAAATTACAAAAAAAACGGTAATGAGGTTCAGTATGTTACGTATTTATCATGTGTGAGAAGGAAAATAAATCTCTAATTTACATTGATAGCCCTTCCCATGAGCTGGACTTTGCCATGTAGATTGTGTGAGTAGGGTGTCCTCTGTGCCAGCCGCCCAGCCAGTGGAGCTGTAACAAGAAAAGACATCTGCACTGCTTTGTCCAACTCTGTTTTTGCAATGTCATGTGTTAACTAGTTATTTGTTTCATGAAAAATAAACTGTGAATATTTTTGGTGCAGGCTATTTTAAATCTTTACAATGGAAAAGTTCTCAGTGAATTCTCATGAGCGCAGGTTTGAAGAATCTTCCTTATAAGTCATGTGTTGAAATATAGGGCGAGGTTCACAGCAGCAGCAGAATCCCTTCACTCTCAGCAGTTATTGAGGAGCTCCTGTTTGAACAGTGAAAGTAGATTGAGCCATTGCATGATATTTTAAGCCCCCGGCCTTCCGCCACTCATTTGACTACACCACTGTTTCTCTTCTCTTCTCTTCTCCCTCCAGAGCTTTTCTGTACAGATCCAGTTTTCCAGCCCACCCACCTTCCAGCTGACACGGGTCACAGAGCTGACTTTAGAGTAGGTGTGCACCTGCTTGGTTAAATATGGATCCGCACTGGGAAATATCACGTAAAGGCAGTGCTTGTGTCAGCTTAGAAGTTAAGACAAATGCCTCTCTAGGCGGAAGAGGGTTAGTGACTAGGAGAAGTGAGGAAAGCAGGAAGCAGTTGTTCTGTATCAGCTGGAAGGGGTTGTGCAGTTAGTGGGGTTTTCCTCTCTGCCCGGGGCTGAACACCCCACTCCCCGGGAGTGGAATGTGCCCCGGCCCCTCGCTAGCAAGCTGTAGAACACTGACGAATCGTGGCTGGCTGGCCACTTCTGTGTTATCCCAGGCTGGAGGAGGAAGCTTTTGATACCGATGGGAACATCTCTGTAAGTTAATATGATGGAGAAGAAATTAACAGCTTTATGTCTGAACCCTGTTGGCAACCTCAGCATACAGGCCACGGTCTGAAACAGAATACTCTCTTGCCTCTAGATGTGATCCCTGAGACATGCTCTGCTGGAACCAAGGCTGCCTTTTTTCAGGGAGGACTAAAGTGACTTCAGCCTCAGGGTCAGACTGGCACTCTTTGTATGCCAGGTAAATCCACACTAAAGGAAACAAAACTGAATTCCACTGTTTGAGATGGTGGCAGCCAGCAGAGCCAGCCAGCTGCATCTGCTGACTTGGATGGCCGGAGGAGACACTTGTACTGGGGCGGTTTAAATGCCATTTATTTCCTTTGCTACCTTTTAGAATTTTCATCAATAATTCAAGTCACTGGATTCTTTATATAGAAAATAGCATTGCAAACATGTTAGTGCTCATGTAGGATAGTAGCAAGAGAGAGAAACGGTCAGTTTTAAAGTAAATTAAATGAAGTGTGCCGGCAGTTCATTCTGGCCTTTGCCACAGACACTGAGCTCTACTGAGATCAAACAATTTAATGGAGAGAGAGAGAGACTCTGGGTGCATCTACACTAGAGACATCAGAAAGAACAAGGAGGACTTGTGGCACCTTAGAGACTAACAAATTTATTTGAGCATAAGCTTTTGTGGGCTAAAACCCACTTCATCAGATGCATGCAGTGGAAAATACAGTAGGGATATATTCCTACTGTATTTTCCACTGCATGCGTCCCATATTCCTACTCTATTTTCCACTGCATGCATCCAATGAAGTGAGCTGTAGCCCACAAAAGCTTATGCTCAAATAAATTTGTGAGTCTCTAAGGTGCCACAAGGACTCCTCGGCCTTTTTGCAGATACAGACTAACCCGGCTGCCATTCTGAAACTAGAGACATCAGTACCAGATAGAGGGGCTGCCCCACAGGCAAGGTGGAGTCAAGTTTTGCACTTAAAGCAGAAATTCACCCTCGTTGTTGAAGACAAACACATTCTCCCTGCATAGCAAAGAGGTGTCAGACATTCTCTCCTCCTCCCCTCCCCCCTGCCCCCCAATAGTCTCCGCTCCTCAGGTGTTACTGCAAAAGGTGGCTCCTGAGTAGTGCAAGGGGTGGTTTTGAGAAGAAGAGTTTTGGGTTAAGAGCCATGTTTTCTCTCTGCTTGTAACTGAAAGTTTCCCATTTGGCAGAGGCTGAAGAAGGTTTCATAGAAACTTTCCAATAAAAGCCCTCTTGCGAAATGGCTGCAGGCTCCCATTGTTCTCCAAGGGACTGAGGCCATTCGCTGCCTTTAGCAAAGATGGTCACCACCTCTACTCATCAGCTCCTCCCAGCGCTGCTGTCTGTCCCCTGCCTGCATAGAGCCATTGTCTCCCCTGAGGACTTCACTCCCATTGGGAACAATGGGAAGCAGTGGTCAGCGTTGCAAAGCCTGTGACCTCAGTACCATTCAGAGCAGTGGGAGCAGTGAGAGGGAGGTCAGTAGGCATGCATGCCTGTTTGGAAGGGAAGCCTTCGGTGAGCTTTTCTGTAGGACAAGATGCTATGCACCAGCCTCTGCTGCTGGAGAAAACACTCAGTACTACTTTGAGGTCTGGCCATGGGGGGGGCACGTGTTCCAAGTACTCAGGACCAGAAATTCTTCAATAGCCATGTCCCTTGGTCCGTGTCTGTGCTCTGCGTCTCCTCTGCTATGAACTGAGGGCATATAAGTGACAGTGCGGATCAGCTGCTTCTCCAGTTCCTTGCTACCGCTCACATCCTGGGACTAAGCCCTGTTGTGTTTGTTAGTCTCTTCGCCTCTGTTCAGTGTTAGCTGTAAACATTAAACATGTTTCTAATGGTGTATTGGTTATGTGGCTCTTTTCACTAGTTAGCTAGGGCTTTTCAAGTAGCTGTTAGTTAGTGGTGATCAGGAGGTTCCCCCCACCTTATTCTCCCTATGTCCAAGGCATTTATGCCCAAGGCCCCAGGTTTCAAGCACTGTGTTGCATGCCCTCAGGTCTTCCTGTTCACCACCGCTCACAAGACCTGTCTCTACTGCCTCCAGGAATCTCACATCCCGTTGAACTGTGAGACCTGCTACTCCTTCCTCTCCCCCTTGTGCTAGGCCATCCCAGCAGCTCGGACTCTGCAGGGACCTGAGAGCTCTCCAGCAGGCCTGCGGACTCGAAGAGGATGCATGAAGAGGGTAGGGAAAGACACTCATCAGAAGACTGACAAGTCCTCTAATAAGTCGTCAAAGAAGAGGATGGCTCCCCATCCCTTGGGGCTGAGTGAGAATCCATGCCCCAGACCAGGTGCACCCAGAGTTCCCAGGGAGCAAGAGCCGGCACCAGCAGTACCAGGAGAGTCCAGCGCTCTGAAACCGACTCCAAAGCGCTCTCTATAAATGAGGCCCTCTTGGAGCCTGCTAAAAACCTTTGGCACAAACCAGCCCCCTTCCCGGCTGTCCCAGAAAAAGGAAAGCTTGTAGCAGGTCATCTCTGCAGGCATCCCTGGATGCCGTGAACATGGCTTCCTGTTCTGTGGCTACGTCGGCCATGAGATGGGCATCGTGGCTGCAGGCGTCGGATCTCCCCAAGGAGGTTCTAGCTGCTCTAGAAGATCTATCCTTGGGGGCAACAACTTACTGAGTGAAAGGACGGATGAGTCACTCAAAGACACTTGTGCCACCTCAATTCCTCAGGAATATGCACCCTGGCTTCTCTCAGAAAATATTCTAAACTACCCCACGCTAGAGACTGCCCAGCCCCACAGCTGTGGTACCACTGGGGGTCCTGTCCTATGGGCCACTGAGAACCTGCCAGAGGGTACAGGGCAACAGACGCACCGCTGTCCCCTCTCCAGTCTCAGACATCTCTCAGCAAGTCTGATCCTCAAGGAGACAACTGAGAGCTTCACACACAGTGCTTGTCTGTCCAGTCTCCCCACCCCTTTTGATGGACATCTAATCTGTTTTCTTCTGATGTGACAACATTTAACTTCTAACAGATGGGTCTTTGGCATCATCTCAGCCAGCTACACAATCCGATCCCTGTCCTTCTGCAAAATCCCCATCCTCATCTCTAGAACAACAGAACTGGTACCTGCTGAATGCCGGGGAAACAGCTTTTACTCCAGATACTTCCTGATCCCCAAAAGGAAGAGGGGCGGGGACCCACCCTGGTCTCCGGCAGCTGCCGTTCAGCAGTCAGGATGATTACTGTGGATGCTCTAGTCCCCTCCCTGGACAAAGGCAGCTGGTTTGCAGCTGTCGATTTAAAGGATGCCTTTTCACATATGTGCAGTCAGGAAATCCCTGCATTTCATGATGGGGTCAGAGCACTTCCAGTACCAGGTCCACGCCCCTGGGGCCTTTTGGCAGCACCGGTGGCTTTTACAAAAGTCCTGTTAGTAGTGCAGCACACCTACACTATCACCGCTACCATGTACGTCCCTGTCTAGGTGACTGGCTCCTCCAGGGATGATCATATCAGGCAGTACATACAGCATTCGCTGCCCTGCTTGACCTGTGCCCCTCCTTGGGGCTTCAGGGAAACCCAGGAAAGTCCATTTAACACCCACGGCTGCAGAATTTATTGGAGCAGTTCTTGACTTGCTTGCATCCAGAGCTTACTCACCACAGGACAGATTCCTAACAATGAGAGACCTCAGTATCCAACTTTTCTCAGTCATCAGACAGCAGTCTGGTCCTCCTAGGCCATGTGGTGACACGCACCTACACCCATCCTCAGGCTTCCCCCCGCAGTCTCCAGGCTTGGCTGAGGAAAGTCAACATCCCAAACAAGGACTCCTTGGACAAGAGTCACCCTTCCTTCCAGCATTCGGGTATCTCTCACCTGTTAGGAAAAGGGAGTCGGTATTTGCGGGGATTCCCTTTGCTCCCACCCCACTCCCAAGGACACTTGTGACAGACGCAGCCTGACTAGACGGGGGAGCCCACCTGCATGACTACATAGATTAGCGTTCCTAGACTTTGCAAGAGTTCACATGCCACATCAACCTGCTCAAGCTTTGTGCCGTCCACAAAGCATGCACACAAGTTCTCCCCTTTTTCTGAGCCACCTGTCCAGGTCAGATCATTCTGCGGGGAGGCTGTCCAGCTGGGAGCTGGTGCATCCAGCAGCAGCTCACCCTCTCTGCAATGCACCTACTGGGGAGAATGAAAACTCCCTAGCAGACAGCCTCGGCAGGCGTTCTCACGCAACCCATGAATGGGAGCTCTGTTTGTCCATCATCCAACAAACCTTGTGCCAGTGGGGATCCCCATTTTGTGATGACTTTGCAACCCAGGACAACAGTAAGTACCTGACTTATTGCTTTTGCCATACATTTGCCTGCAGCCATTTCTGGACCTGCTGTCACAGAATGGGGACAGGACCAATCATCCCAACCCATATCTCTTCATCTGACAGCCTGTTTTTCGGATGGACCACAGATTTAGAGAGACCCTACTTGGCGATCCCTGCTACTCAGTAGCAGGAAACCTTCTGTAAGGAAGTGTTACACTGCTGAGTGCAAGCAGCTCTCCATGTGGTGTCAGAGGCACAATTTGCCTCAGGAGGGTCTGGCGTTCCTCTTATCCTGGACTGTCTCCTCTTCTGGAAGTCAGCCGGCCTATCCATCATTTCATTAAGGGATTATTGAGCGCTGTCGATGCCTTTCATCCTCAGTAGAGGACTGGTCAGTTCTCACCCATCCCACAAGAGTCAAGTTCTTAAAAGGCATTGTTAGAATGTTCCTACAGTATCAAGACCCCCTCTGTCTTGGGACCTGAACTTGGTCCATTCCCAACTCATGAAACCACCGTTTGAACCCTGAGCCTCCACCTCAGTCCTACTCTTTGAAGGTAACTGTCCTTAAAGCTGTTGGCCAGGAGAATGTGTGAGTTTGGGCCCAGTGGCAGACCTGCCTGATCCTGTCATTCACAGGGACAGTGTCCTTGAGATTGTATCCCAAGTTCCATCTGACTTCCACTGTAACCAGCCGTTCACCTGCCTGTGTATTACCCAGATTTTCACAGGAATAGTGAGGGCGGGAGGTTGCTCTCTGGATGCTGAATAGCTTGGTTGTTCTGTCTGGATAGGACAAGGTCCTGCAGGAGATCTCCACGGCTGTGCGTCCATAGCTGCGCGGATGAAAGGAGAAGCAGTATCTTCTCCAGGACACTCGGAATGGATTTCCAGCTGCATCCTTCTCTGCTCTGAGAGGGCGGGAGCCCCTCTCCAGACTCTCAGGGCTCATTCTACCAGAGCACAAGCTGCTGCAGTGGCACCCTGCCACGGGACCCCTCTGAAGTGTGTTGAGCGATGGCACTCCATTCACGTGTTCGCTGGGCACCAGCCACTGAATCAGGCCTCGGCTGAGCGCGCTCCCTTCAACTCAGCCATTCTGTGAGCTGTGTACAGAACTCATCCTGCCCACCGCCTGCTGGGCACTCACCCACAGTGAGTAGCCATTGGGACCAGCACTTGATGAGGAAAAAGGGAAGTTTATTTTCCTTAACTGGGTTCGTTCTTATGTGTGGTCTCTGCAGACCCACCCTCCTCCTCCGGCTTCGGATCCTCACGGGATTCATGGCAGAGTAGGAACTGGAGATGCCGTCGGTCCATGCCACCCCTTAACCCCTTGGTTCACAGCACAAGGAGACGCAGGGCACGTGGGTGCCCCAACAGACATCACTCTTGAAGAATTTCCAGTCCTGGGCATGCACAGCACGTGCAGACATGGTGAATACCCGCTGGGACATCTCGTAGCTCTCCTGTTACTATAAGTAACCTTCCTTTATGAAGAATAACTGCAAAATGATGATGCTTAATACTAATCAGGTTTTTTCAAAAACTACCTGTTGCACCAAATCTCTCCAGCTGGGAGATCAGGGAGAAACGGTGGGGGTGGGGTATGCACAGGGGAATGTGGAGGGAACGGGTACGGGCATATGCACTTGATGCATTGTGCTGCTCTGACGATTGAAAACAACTGCAAACGCAGCGTAATTATCCACCTCTGCACTGCTTCTGAATGCCTAAAGCAGCCAGCGCACTGGTGAATCTGGACACAAAAATTACCATTTTATAAGATGGTTAAGGCTGATGCTACATATCTTCTTCTGATCATTAAAAATATCCCTTGGTAGCTGTTTCTTTGTGAGTTTTGTTTACTGATCACATATGAAAACTTTAGTAATTAAAAAGAAAACAAATTCCCAGAGAAAAATGTATGATGGAGTTAAGGTAGAGAATACATATTAGTGAATTAGAGTAAAAAAATACAGGGATGTTGTGATTAATTTTAAACAAGCATCATTAAACCCAGGGAATTTGGAGTTCATGTTAAACATAAAAGAAATACAGCATGTTAAGATGAGACTAGGCAGGATTGAGTTGTGGAAACAACCTTAACTCATTCCTGTAAAGGCGGAAATGAAAAATGGGCAAAAGTCAGTTCAGTTTAATCTGAAAACGCACAGGCTCTGATGAGCATCAGTCATAACTGAATGGTTCTTGGCTGACATCACTACAGGGCGGAGGCAGGGTTGTTTGGGAGCCTGAACTGTGCGTTTCAACAACTTAACGTGTTTGGATTTCTGTTAAATTTAGCCTTAACTCTCAATTGACATCTCTCGAATGTATGTTACCCTACATTACCGATACGCGTGCTCAGCCGTACACCATCTGAACCTAGCTGATATCTGGGAAGGTTACGGCAGAACTTGCAGTGATAACTAGTGCAGACATCTGTTCTGAACAGCTTCTCAGGACGTGGTGTCAAAGTTGCCTGAGGCTTGTCTACAATAGGACATACGCTTACTAGTACTGCACCATTGGAAGCATATGTAGTGATCCAGTTACTAACTTTTCTAATGTAGACAGGCCTCCCTGCTCATTGGGTTCTTGTACCCGTGGAAAAGGGACAAATCTAGGTAAGGAGGGAGATTGTCAATAGGTTTTCCTTCACTTTCCCGTTGGCGTCAGCGGGAGCTTTGCATGTAGCCTGCTAGCAGGGCTCTTGGCGACCGGGCACTAAATGAAAGCAGATTCCTTCCTTTAGAGACGTCCTGATGTGATGTTCTTCTTGAAGTCAGCCAGCCCCCTCTGCCATCTTGGCAGCAGAGTGATATGCTGCACCATGGGCTAGAGGAGTGGCTGTGGTGGCAGGCCTGGCAGAACTCAATCTACCTCTTGGGGAAATCTCTACAAATTAATAGTGCTGTGTCCTGTTGCTAGGGAAAGTTGTAATCTTAAATTTGCCCTTGGCTAAGTACTTGGGCTCTCATGGTGCTATTGTACAGAGTTTGGTTGTTCAGAACAGTAGGGCTGAATTCACGTCCCCCAGCCCTACGCCAGGAGTTCCTTTGCAAGCTGAATCCTTTCCTTCTCTGGTAGCTGGGCTGGGCCTTCGGTTAGAGTCACTGAAACAGACAGGACAGGGCTCACAGGAGCACCCTGATTGTTTTGATGTTACCCAGATTTGAGATGCCTTCAAACCAGACCAAGCTGCCAGCGAGTCTCTGGGTTTTTTAAAAAAGGACCTGTGCGTGCGCTGGGACATGTATGTTCTTCTGGGTTGCCATAGGGACTGAGCTGGCTTCAGGTTTATGATGTTTCAGAACCGTTGACATAGAGGAAATGGATTTTGGACCTTTATGCTGGGAACCTGTAAAGCAAACTGAACAGTCAGCATGCTCTGTTGGTGTCTGCAGGGAGGATAAAGGATTGGAACGAAATCAGTTAAGCTGCTTGCAGACCTATATGATACAGGAGTTTGAGAACCAATCAGTCATACACAGGAGAACGGAATTAAAGCGTTAGCAAGATCACTGCCTTGAGATGGGCAGGAAGTTCTGTATTTTCTAACAAGCAGTTTGTTGTGTTAGCAAGTGAGAGATGCTCCAAGCTTTGGTCAGAGCAGCTTGACAGCAGAGGCCTGGCCTTGCTTACACTTGGCACTCTGCCCCCTACCCCCAGGTCTGCCTTTGTTAGGCCAGCGGGAGCCTGGTGTAAAGTGCACACGGCTTTGAAAAGCTCCTACCATTGTCCCCTTGGCTAGCCCCCAGTTGGCTAGCAGAACTGGGGGTGGAAAGTTGTGCTCAGCCTCAGGGTTGGCCCTTTCCTGTTGCACTGGTTTTCCCTAACACTGCACTAGGCTTGTATAAGTCCAGTAGTTCCTTCCGCGCCCCCCAGCCTGCAGTGCGATCCTCAGGACTGAACAGGGGAATTCTCTTCCCCACAGTTCAGCATCTGGAGCAAGACGTGCCCCTGCAGGGCCCTTGTCTGCTGTGACCAAGGGAGGGGTTCCCCCTCCTTACCCTGAGGAATAAATGATGAAACATGAGGGATCGATCAGGTTTGTATGAAGCTGCTTAAAAGCACGGGGGAGAAAAATTTGTAAAAAGCAAAGCGCCCCTTCCCCCGTGTGGGGCATGGCCAGCGCTCTGTGCTTCAGCTGAAGCTCCAGCTGGGAGTGTGATATTCCGGCCCCTGGGCCAGGAACTAAGAGGATAGGACTAACACCGCACGGTCACGCAGCAGAGAAGAGGGCTGTAGAGGCAAATTGCTTCAGTGTGATTACGCTAACAAGCTGAATGAAGAATACGCATGATAGCGTTCCTACCCCAAGTCTGTCATATCAGACCGCACGCACGCACGCTGCCCTGGGGCTGGTGAGATGGACACCGGGCAGGGCCCATGCCGTAGCAAAACCTCCACTGAAGTAACTGGGAATAGTGCCTGAGTAACAACTGCAGGAAGGGGTTGCCAAGTGTCACTGTGCCCTGCCATGACTGTCCGGTGCTTTATTTGTATGTGTGTGCAGGGAGCAGTGGATGGTGGATGAACACAGCACATGGGAGTTTGTGAAAGATTGTCTAATGTAATGGTGTTACACAGAACTCACCTGCCACACGTCCTGTACAAAGAACATGAGATTGAGTGAGAGAGGCTTATATATTTACAGTATATATCTATTATTTTTAGAAGAGGGAGAAGGGGAGAGTCTTGGACCATTGATTAATTTCACTTTGCTCCCCTTAGACTGTTGGCTGTGTATGTGAAACTTATGATAATGAAAAGAGGGTTGGCCTTCTCCAGGTGCTCCCAGATTATGTACTGTAATTCTTTGTATATAGAAGAAAACAATTACTGTAAAGTAAAGTTTAACTTTACTCTTGAATTTGTTGTGTGTGTTTTGTCTCACTGAGGTCGGGCAGCTGCTGCTTAACAAGCAGCATGAGAGTCTACATGTGGTCTCTGTGCAGTGACGGCTTGCGAGGCGCACAGCCAGTGAGTGACGTACATCTCCCCGTGTGGATGAGTTCCACCCAGAGAGGTCTGCTCAGCTACCAGTCTCTCCTGGGATGCTGTGAAGAAATTGGTAGCCCCCACAAGTTAGAGCCCTGCTCTTCGAGATGGTTAATGCCCCCTCCCCCCTGCCTAGGGCAAGCTGCCCATTCTGGGGAAGGTAATTCTAGGCTCATTCCAAAAGCGTAATTTCTGTAGTGCCCAACGGCAGTGTCTCTGCCTCCCAGTTGACATGGCAAATGAGCTGAACCGAAAAGCAGAATTGAGTGAGTTTGAGTCATGTTAATGCCACCATTGGAGTTTTCATTTTTTTTAATCTAATTCTTTGGAGGCTCTGACAATCTCTGGGATTCCCAGCTGGATCTGACACCCAGGAAGTGCTGGGCTTGGGGGATTGAGCCCTTACGAGTAACAGACTGGGGCGAGATGTCTGTGCCGTGCATCCTGTTGCCTCCTCTGGAGGACTGACGGGGGGGAGTGGAAGTTACCTCGCGATGGCCTGGCAGCCGTTCAGGCACCCCCCTGGGCGGGGCTAGCCTCTAAGCTGCGATACTCACAGCCAGTCGTCGCTACGGGGATCCGGCCTGCAGAAAACCGCGCAGGGGTCTAGGGTCGTCTTGCAACAGCTGCCCTTTGTCTCCGAGAGCCCGTCCAGTCCGTTGCAGCGGAGGCAAGGTACAACGGTACGGGCAAGAAGAAGGTGAGAGCGCTGCGGCTGGATGCTAAGTCTCCATTCCAAGAGAAGCCCAAGGCTCCAACTCCAGCCGCCGCTGCCCCCTGAAGTGTTGGCGTGGGAGCGAGCAGCCATCTTTTATCCCCGGTGATATCTGCAGAATTAGGTGCTGAGATCTCTTCTGCCTCCCCAGAAGGATGCACAACAGCCTGGGGAGAAACAGCACAACAACATCCAGGTCTTTGGGGCCAAGACCACCAGCAAGAGGCTGCCAGTGCACAAAAGACTCGGCTACAGCAGCGCTTCCTGGTGCTCACGGGGTGTCTTGGGCCCCGCCTCCATCTCGGGAAGAAACGTTCAGGTGCCTGAGAAGACAGCTCAGGTTGTACTGACACCACCATTACCCATTTGGGGGGTGGGGTGGCAGGTCTGCCGTGTTTACAAAGCAGCATCGTGGGAGTGTATATGGGCCTTTTTCGGGAAGATTGGCTGATCAAGAACAGTGCTGGGTATGTGGAAAGGAATTGAGATCCTGGTGTGTGCGCTGAAGTAAGCATGGACCACTAATCTCCACGCTTGCTCCCCGGAGCCAAGCCACGGGCAGAAGTCCCTTTGGCCAGAGAGCCTCAAAGGTTTTGAATTGGCTCACAAGCTTCAGAATGCTCTCTAGCGGAAGGCAGCACTAAGGGCCTGTCCTGAGGGTTTGCTGCAGCCTGGCATGGAAACCAGTCAAGAAAGTCTTATCTACGGTACGGGAAGGAACAGGCAGAGCTTGGGATAAATGAGGTGACCTGATCCTCTCTACTTTTGCTTAAAGCTGAGGCTGATTTTATTCTCCAGTGCACTTACCCAGTGAGAAACTTGAGAGCCAGTTCCCAGAGGCACCAGACTGGCTCACCTACACTGGGAGGGAAATGTCTAAGCTGGTATCCTGCATTTCACCACCACCACATCAGACCCAGGGTCCCACCACCTGTTGTCATAAGGCTAAGATCAGTCCTGAGTGGCTGGAGCTGCGTATTGTGGCAAGAGAGCACTGGGCCAGTCCTGGGCTTCTGTAAGCCAGCCAGGGCCAGGAAGTGGTGAAGGGGGCAGAGAGCTGTGAATCAGCCCAGCTGCCCTCCGGGTCAGTTCAGGCACCACCACTTCCAGGGGAGGGACAGATTTCAAGCTCTTCAGAGCCTTTGACTAAGCATCTCTACTGACTGAACTCAGCCTGGCTGTGGTGCAAGTCCAGAGGCGCCAGGGAACAGAGGAAGCTAGAGAAGCACAACAGTAACACAAATCACAGAGGGAGCTGGGGAGGGTTGGTCCCTCCTCAGGGACAGCTGCAGTGAGCTGGAGGAGGGTGAAAACCTTGGGCCTGGGAGCCATGTCCTCATGCTACAGTAGGGGGTGCAGGTTCCTGGCCAGCTGCTGCTGAAGGGACACATTCCTCCCTCCTGTGGCAGGTACATCTCCACAGTCACAGGTCCCAAAGCACCAGCTCTGTCAGCCCTGGCTTCCCCAAGAACACCCAACGGGCCTCATGGACCACAATGCACTTTATTTACACTTGTATAACTTAATAGAAGCCATTGAAGTAACCTCCAAAGAATCAGGCAACATATCCCATGGAACACATTGGCCACAGCTACACATGACCTGAGCTGCAAGGAGCCGGCTGGGGAAAGCAGCTATTCCAAACACTCTTCACTAATGTGCAGGCACCTGGTGTCCATCACAAGGCAGCAGAGTCCTGCCAAAAGTGGAACAGAGTCTGTCTCTCCTCTAGGACCACAGCAGCTTTGCTTGTCAAGTCCCATGGAGGGGAGAGCCAGGCGCGGGGATCCCGTACTCCAGGGTGCCAGGCATTCCCTACAGCTTACGTACAGCAGGCAGAAAACAAACAGTCCGAAGAGCAGGACCTGCTACCCCAGCAGGCTGGCTTTATTTTGGCAGCAGGAGGTGCGTTCAGTGGTGGCAGCAGCTGTAGAAGTAGGTGCTGTTCTTCTGGCTCAGGTCTACGCCTTCACCCTCTGAAAAGAGAAGACGAGTGAAAGGGGGCTGCTGCCTCTTCTATGCCCCGCTCACCTGGATGCTCGCTTTCAGCCCACAGAATCAGTAGCCACCATTCCAGCCTGTTTGCCAGCCCTTTTACTAAACTAAGGACATGACGGTGGGCGCCAGGTTGCGCCAGACAGAGCTTAGGGCAGACATACAAGTGGAACCGGTCTTAGAATCCATTTCTCTAATCACAGCCCCTTGAATCAGGGAGCCCTCAAACTAAAGAACAATCCTGCAGGGTTTCCTGCTGATCTTTTGGGTTAGGCCCCGGTGGCCAATGCCCAGGAACATGCCTGCCTGCTTCCTCTTCCACACCAGCCCCCCTCCCAGGGCTGAGGAACGCATGGCCGAGCGCACCCACTGGGCAGGGCAGGGCAGGAGCGAGACCTGCCCGTAGAGCACGGGATAGGAAATGCAACTGACCCAACAAAAACTAAAGAGAAGTGTTTCTCTCCAGCCTTTCTGCTCTAGTCACCCTGGAAGAGATGGAAATGGGATTTTCAAGTTGACAGCAGCCCTTTAAAATTCCAGCTAACTAGGAGCTCATCCTGCCAGCGCCGTCCTCCATGGCACATGCCCCCTTCACCGTCAGACACCAACCTGTTCTCCCTGGCGCAGGCCCTGGGGCAATCCATCGTTCCCTGCACCCCAGTACACACAGGAGTCTTGCTCTCGTGTGCACTGGTGACTCTCCAGCAGCGTGTGGGGACATCAGTCCCTGCTAACAGATGGAGGCGAAGGGGGAGCCAGTACCCCTGACCCATCTTCCTGAAGCCCAGCACCACTGCTGCGAGCTGTGCTGATGGTGCAATGAAGGCTGCGTCCCTGCATCTCACCTCGGAGCCTCAGCAGAAGCAGCAAATGAAGAAAATGGGTCTGGATCAGCAGGGACCTGCTGCAGCACTGAGAACAGATCCTGCAGGGACTCTGGGGGAAGCCGCAGCCGGGCCGCCGCTCCTTGCACGCCGGCAGCTTAGAAAACACCCCACCTCTGAACCACCACGACCCTTGCGAGGGAGCAAACGCCCTGAACGTAGGCCTGGGCTGAACTGGGAGCATTAACGAACGGGAAGTGCCACCCGTGGGCTCCCCTCAGGCAGCATGACAAACCCACCCCAGCTGGAGAATGAGCGGAAAGGTTTCACTCCCACTGACTCAGCTGGCGCGTGGGTCGCAAGGCAGTGGGTCCTGTCCTGCCACTCACCTGTCATCACCTGGAAGGCCATGAGCTGGACATAATCCTCAGCCACCTTCTGAAACAGCTCATCTGGGACAGGAAGGGGAGAATGAGGGCTTCCTCCGCACTCCTAGCACAAACTGCAGTGGGGCTGGGCTCCCAGGAGGAGACTGTTCCCCAGTGTGGGGCGTTGATGAGAAGCCCTGGGCAGGAGGCTGGGGCAGGGCAGACAGCCTGCTGCAGGGAACTTCACTTGAGCCACTGCACTCACCCTCCAGCACTAGAGGCGTGGGGCAGAATCTGCTTCACCACGGAGGGAGCCAAAGGGGCCAGGGCCAGGTGTGACCCACACCTGCCTTCTCCTGTAATGCTTATGTGCAGCCCAGGGTCCCAGCATGGAGCCTAGCCAGTGCATGGCATTATGGGACTTGTGGTCTCCACAGCCTGCTCCCTGCATTAGTCCTGATAGGACAGACAAGTAATTATGCTGAACTTCTTCCCACTCCTGGTCAGCAGGCGCTCTGCTCCCCTCCCCTCCCTCCCTGGCATTGCTCTCCCACAAACCCCGTCAGCAGCCAGCTCCCGAGCACACCTTGGGGTGGGTGCACAGGACATCTTTAGGTAGGAAGATGGCCAAGACAGCGATCCCCTAACCTGTACAGCCACCCCCGCAGCCTGCTGTGGCTGCTGCTGTTGTCCAGGCACCCGCCAGGGGCAACTCACCGACGCTCTGGCCTGTCTTACTGGAGGTTTCGAAGAGCTCAGCCTTAATCTCTGCAACACAAACAGGTTAGTGCCAGAGGGTGCCTGTGTTGTGTGCATCAGGGCTAGTGGCAGTGGGGGGGAGGCTCCCCGCCGCCCCCAGGATTCCTCCTGGTAACCACCCTGAAGCGAGGGCTGCTGCCAGAGTCACAAAGGCAGCCAGCAGGAAGAACAAGCTGGCTCCAGCCCCTCCGCAAGGACAGGAAGTGCCGCT